CGGGGGGTGGCAGGCAGGGTGGGGGGGGGCTGCGAGACCCCAGTCTTGAACATCTGCACAAGCACAAGCAAGCCGGGGAATGAGGCGCCGCTCGGAGCCAGGCCCAGCAGCGCCTGCGGGGTTAGGCTTGGCGTGGGGTTAGGCTTGGGGTTAGGGTTGGCATGAGGTTAGACTCAACTTGGGGTTAGGCTCAGCTTGGGGTTAGGCTCAGCCTGGGGTTAGTCTCGGCACAGGGTTACCTGAGGAGCCCGCGAGCAGGACGCCCCACCACAGAGAAGCGCAACCGAACGGCACTTACCATACCCGGTGGTGGGCAAGCCCAGGTGCTTCATACGGTTTTTGACGAGCTCGGACAGCTCCTGCCTCTCGGAGCGGCGGTAGAGGCTGAGGCGCTGCTGGCTGATCCACTCGGCCGTCTTGCTGGAGTGTTTGTTGCCCTTCCTGCTCAGCCGGCGGGCCCACTGCATGCTCTTGCGCCGCAGCAGCGGGTGCTCGGACTGGTCGCTGGAGCACGAGTTCCTGTGGTGGCTGGTCTTGATGCCCCAGTGCTCCTTGACGTCCTTCGTGTCCTCGCAGTCCTCGACGTTGATTGAGATCTGTGACTGGAAGCCCAGCAGGTCACGGGGGGGGCAGGGGAAGCCTCTCTGCCAGGGTGGGATCTCTCCCCACGGGATGGGATCCTTCCTCTGAGCCACGCGCTCTCCCAGCACATCATCTCTGTAGTGCTAAAGCTACCTGGCCGGCAGATTTGGGATAAGCGCGGTCGAGTGGAGCCTAAAGGGTGCTGGACATCTCCCACATGATTATCTCTGCCCACAGGACAGCTGTGCCCTTGTCTCCCCCTTTTTTGTCTTACAGCAGCCGTGCTGCCGCATCTCCGACACAGCAATCCCCGCTGGTGAGTGGGAATTTATTAATAAAGCGTTTTAAAGCACCTTTAATAGGTGGATTGCATTTAATTAAATGTCAACTCTCGGCTCCCTGTAGCTGCTTCCTACAAAGCTGAAAACTTAAAGTATTTAAAATGGAGCCTGGCTCATTCCGCTGCCCCTTATCCCAGGGAATTACAGGGCACTGAGGTCTTTTGTCTTCCCAAACTGCTGAGGCTCAGCTGGCATCACCCTTCCGCGGGGACAGGCAGCACTGCGGGGGACATGCACAAGGTGCATGGTGGCTCTCGGTGGCCAGAGGAGCCACTGGCACAAGCCGGCCCAGCGTTTGCCCACGGTCAGCCGGCAGGTTGGGGGGAGCAGGAGGCAGCGCCGACGGGCAGCGTAATGCCCGACCCTGCGACACTCACCTGCGCTCTGATGTCGTGGGGCTGCAGTGGGGGAAAAAGAAGGAAAAATCAAGTGTCAGCCCAGCAAACGGGCAGCCCTGCTGTGCCACATCCCCCCCTGTGCCCCGGGGGCTCGGTGCCAGGCAGCACTGCAGAGCTGTGCCAAAATAATCCCCCCGCCCAGCGGTATGGGCACTGGCCCAGCTTGCCCAGGACTCCGTAATGCAGATGCGGGGCCACTAACGAAGCCAAGACAGAACTTCCCCTCCCCTCGATCCTCCCCAGCGCTGCCACATCCAGGTCTGAGGGGCCTCATGGACCCGGCCAGCCCCTTGGACCACCAGCAGCCCCCTCCCGGCACAGGGCATCGCCGTGCCCCTACCTCGGAGGTTGCGAACATGTGTGACTCCGTCCTGTAAATCCCGATGGGGATCTCCGCGCTGGAGGAGCAGAGCTTCTGGAAGAGGCGACCGTACGTCCGGATCCACAGGTCATCTTCAGTGATCTTCATCTGAGCCACGGGGGACAAACATCAACCGCCTTGAGTCAGGCAGGGCTCGCTGAGGAGCACCTCGGGGCTGCTCCTGAGCCTCACCCCAGCTCATCCATCAATCCCAAAAGCAAGCTGCACTCCACAGAAAGACCAGGGGCAATTTCTGACCTCAGCCTTCAGAACAGGGACTTTGGCCCTTGGCAGCTTCGGGGATTTGGGGCTCTTTGTAGTGCTGAGGTTCCCCACACACGATGGAGGGGAGCTACGACCTGGCAATGTTGCCTCCCCACCCCAATGCCCGAGAAGAGGGGAACCCTCCACCCTCAACCGCAGGCTGACAGATCCCGCCAGATCCTCGGTGACTTGGCCCGATGGTTTCAACCCAGAGGGACTTGGCACCTACCGCACAGAGGTAGCCGGAGCCCGGCGTGGTGTCGAGGCCCAGCAGCAACCGAGTGATGGTGATCATGTAGTCCTTCACAAACGACTGGGGGGAGACATTTGGGCAGGAAGCCGGAGAAAAGGTTTGCTCAGTTATTCACTGGGAGATGCAAAGGGGCGGCCACAGCTGCAGGGGTGTGTTACCCAGAGCCCGGCGGGCTCTCACCTGGTAGAGCAGCGTGTCCAACATGCTGATGCTGAAGACCCTCCCGGCCGCGAAGGGCAGCCGGAACATGAAGGCCAGGTTGGAGCCGTTCTCTCGCTCTTTCTGGAAGAGGAAGGGGAGATGTGAGCACCCAAAAGCAAACACCTTCGGCAGGGGCTTGTTCACATCCTCCCAGGGCATTCAGCAAAGCAAAACCACACAGATTCCCCTGTGCATGGGTTGCACAGAAACTAGAAGACTCGTGAATATGGGAGGACACCAGTGTAGCGTTGCTGGGAGGGAGCCAGGGCAGCATCCTTACACTGGGTGAAAGAGAGATTTTTTTTCTCCATGGAAATGTGTGAGACATGGTTGGGGTTTTTTTAACATGGGCTGGATGTGGCCCTTTCGCATCCCTCAGTGGTTCAGGGGTATTTTCTCCCTTGTCAGAGGATCTGTCTCAGCACAGCAACTCCACTGCCCCCCTCACTGCAGTCACAGCACTAAACCCAATGCAGAGGCCCGGCACAGCAGTAGGCAAAGCAGCGCAAACTCCAGCCACCAAATAAATACATAAACATGTAGAAGGAGGCAGCTAGTCCAAAGATCAACTGCCCACTTATTTGTTTGCTGCAGGTTATCTCAGGGAGATGCACACTAACTATGGCAGCCGCAGCATGCAGAAGAACACCGGACCTTGAGGAGCTCTCGGTGTTGACTTCCCAGGCCCCGCATGCAGGCAGGGACCTTTTCTTACCTTTTCTAGCTTAGAAAGGGCGAGAGAGTAACTGTCCTTTGCTCTGAATTGCATGAACCTCATGTTGGAGGGGTGGGTCAGCTCTGTGATAATGCTGAGGCTGGGGAAGAGCCTGCAATGGAAAAAGACCTGTTGTCCTGCAGCTCGCTCGGATCCTGCATTTACAGCCTGAGGAAGACCAAAACCATCCCTGTGCCTGTCTGAGGTCCAAAATAGCTGATTAGATGCCGTTCCCTAGAGCAAGCTCAGCCACAGATGTGTCCCACTGCCCGTAGCCACCACCCCAGCCACCAGCACCCTTCCCGGTGCTGCCTCCAGCAGAGGTAAGTGGCTGTGACAGAGCCGGGGCAGCGGCCACCCCTCACCTGAACATGGTCTGGACGTTGACAATTGTCTTTGCATCGGCCATGTAGTCCTCCTCGGCGCTCATCGTGCTCTCCTTGTCCACAACCACCAGGTTGTCAGCGTAGATGATGCCACACTGCAGCAAGCTGTCCAGGCTGGGCAGTTCCCAAAGAGAAGAGCGCAGGGTCAGCCCTTGGAAAGGACACAGGGAAGCAGCACGCTGCGACGTGCAGCGCTACAGCAAGCCCACGCTGCTCCCAACCACCAGCTCTTCACCCGCTCCCAACTACCGGGAGGGGTTGGTCAACCCGAGAAGCCAAGGGTGGGCTCAGCCCTACGGTACCAACCCTGGGGCTTCTGATGGGCTGACTCAAAAGTCTGGCCTGGGGTAAATGCAACAGATTTAGGTGGCACAGTAAGTGACAACAGCCACAGATGGAAACACCTACTTGTCGATCGTACCCTCCATGTAGTAAACCATGGGGAAACAACAGATGGCTTCCAGAAAGTGGTGCTCAGGCCTGGAGGAAGAGCAACGTGGTTCAGCGAGTCCATGGAGCAAAGATAAACAGAAAACCCACCCAGGAGCCCCCCAGGGCCAACATTAGCTGAGGGAGCTGACAGTGGCACTGCCACTCCCCCACGCTCCCGTCCCCACAGAGTGAGATGCCCGTGAAAACACAGGGAAGGGCTCAGCGTGATGGAAAACATCCGCGGAAAAGTACTTGCTTGTTGTCCAGCAGCAACACAATCGGGTTCAACTCTTTGCGGGACCGATAGTACGCACGAAGGGGGACGATGAAGTTATACAGTCCGTTCCCAGCCGTCTCGGCCGAAACGATAATCAGTTTGTTCTTAAACCCGTAGGCTTTGGCATCTTCAAAGCTGTTGTGCTTGCAGCCCTGTGCGGTGGAAGGCAGCACAGGGACTCAGCATGCAGCTCTCGGCCACCCCCCGCACCGTGCATGGAGCCATCCTGCGGGGGCTGCAGCCCCCAGGCGGCCACGCGCAGCCCCATCGTACCTTGTCCAGCCTCAGGCAGCAGAATGGGGCTTTCTCGGGTAAAAGGTGGCACAGAGTCGGGGAGCTGCCGATGTAGGGGGAGTTCGGTGGGTAACCTTTCACGTACCTGCAGCAGAGAGAACATCCAGCAGCGTGAGGACACGGGGAGAGCTTTCCACGGACACAACAACACTGAGACGCCGGGAAAAACATTTAACAGCACGGTATTCAATCACATCACTGGCAAATGCCTTGCAAAACTCCCCTGCAGCAGATGGATATTTTCCAAAATACACATATTTAGGAATAAATTTTGCTATGCAAAGGGTCATGAGACTGTAAATATGCAGAGTTCCCAGCACGGGTGGAGAAGGCAGCAGACAGGACCATTGCGCACAGCTGAAGGGAGACAGGGCAGAGAGCTCCAGGAGAGGACGGCAATGCTGAGCCGTATGAAAAAGCAAAAAAAAAAACCCCTCACGGTCCATTTTTAGGCTTTGTTTTGGTGAACAGATTTTTTTTAAAAAAATCACCAGCAGCAATTTTCATTTCAAGAGCACCTAAAGGTGGCCATGAATTAAAAGGCGATTTGTGAGAATTTGCAGATACTCAGTTAACTCCTCACACCGCTGTGACAGCACCCAAACAGGTAACCCGTAAAGCAAGTACTTATCTGGCTGTCATAAACTAAAACCACCTTTAAAGCCGGAGAAAATATTTATTTTACATTATATTTATTTATGTGCAATGAAGAACAGGATCCTCTTCTGGTCGGTGAGTGAGGGGAGGCGAGAGGACTGATGGAACTTGGTGCAACTGGGCTGATACCCAGAGGAAACCTCCCCACGTTAGCCCAAAAGGCTTGAGGCCTTTGGTGATTGCCCGTGGTACAGAGGCTCATGTGCTCGTGCAAAAGCCAAGAGGGGCTGAGCCTGAGCATCCCTCGGGCACCGCTGAACGCCCGTCATTTACAACGGTCCCCGTCTCTCTGAAACGAGGCAGCAACTCACTCCACAACCGCCGACCCCTCCTCGTCCGACTGCGTCATCTCGTCCTCCGACTGGTCGCTGAGCAGGTCGCAGGGCAGCAGGGACGAGGTGTCGGCCAGCTCGAGGACGGGCGCGATGCTGGGCCGGCGGTTGCCGGAGCCGTTCTCCGCCGGCAGCGCCAGCTTGCTGCTGTTAGCAGGGCGGCACTCTGTGTTCTGCAGGTCCATGGCTACTGTACCTGGACACGGCGGGGAAGGAAGCACAGCAAACATGCTATAAGGAGGTGACGAGAGCTGCGTCGGCAAACGTCGCGCCCCTGAGCCTTGCGGGGGGATGAAGGTGGAGCACGCGGGGCCGCGCGTCGTGCCCATTCAGCGGAACCCAGATGAAGCCAGACTATCGATGGGCAAAGCACCCGGCAGCCCCCTCCGCCTGGGTGCTGCTGTGCGGAGCAGCTCCCTGGGGCTCAGCTCGGCTGCTCCCAGGGTGGGTGCAGGCTGCTGTGGCCCTGGGGACTCTCACTCTCTCCGTCCCCCCAGCTGTGGCCACCTCCATTGCGCCAGCTTGCTCACTGGACCTGCAAAGCCTGGCTTTACTGTAATTTTTTATTCTTTTGAAGTATCTCAGAGATGAGAATCCTCCAACCTAACCCTTACCTGTAGATCTTTGCAGGCTCTGGGAGACACCAGCCAGGTTAGGAACAAGCTGATGCCACTGTGTCTGCCCCTCATCAGGACGCTGCCCTCCCCACAGATGCCCCTTCAAGCCCCCGGGGAAAGGGAGGCAGACAGCCCCCAACCCAACCCAACCCCCTCATCACCTCCTGCACCCTCCCGACCAGCTCCAGATCTTTATGCAGGACACAAGGGGCCTTCACGCCCTGTCCTCCAGCAGCTTCCCCAAATCAAACCTATTTACGAAGTATTGACCAGGGCCAGCAAGTGACCATCAGAACCCCCCATCGAGGCTCTTGTCCGGGTCCTGGCTGGTTATTTTTAGACGGTCAGGAACAGGGAGGGGGGTTTCCCAGTAAGCAAAGCCCAAGCTCCGGGCTCGCCAGGCACTCGTGTGATTTCTCTCCCTCTCGTTAGTCTTTGCCAAAGGTCCCTCCGCGAACGAGCCACGTAACGAGAACACTGACAAATGCTGTTCAGCAAAGTGCTTTGTGGCTTGCTGGGGGATAATCTATGCAAATTGCTGTTCATGAGCACAAACGCATAAATTATTTGCCTGAAATATAACCCGCTCACATGTAGCGCAGCCGCCCCAAAATTTGCTCTCCCCAGATACAAGCTGGAAGTAATGATTCATGGTATTTTTTAATTTGTGCAAATGCACCACTCGCTGCAGAGCAAACTATGCTCTTCGTCCGGTTGTGACTCATAAACATGATTTAGGATGTGGCTGATGGCATTTATTCTTCCAGACAGGGCTTGGGGCATTCATGCAAATACCATTAATGATAATGGACATCACGAGCTTTAATAATGATATTTGAGCTTGCTGAGAGCACCCAGGGGGCAAGGAGCAGTGTGTGTTTTTGTATTTTACTGGTGAGGTGACCAAGACAGGGGACAGACAGGGATTTTCAGTGGCTTCAACAAAACCCAGGTGCAGGGGCATGGCAAGGAGCAAAAAAAAATAAAAAAGGTTCAAAAATTTAAAAAAAAAGGCAAAATAAAACCAAACCTGGGGAAGGCAAGGAAATGAAACAAAACCTGGAGGAGATGGAGTGGGGAGCTCCTGGGGAGCCCCGCTGCCCCACCAAGGCCCCCCCAACTCACCCATGCTGGCGATGATGCTGTGCACAGGCAGGCGGGATGGGCCGTCGTAGGTGCCTCTCCCTGCGAAACCCTTCTTCTTCTGCTTCTCCTCCTGCTTGAAAATGAAGGCGGAGTTCTCCTCCTTGGTGATGTTGATGTAGAAGCAGGTGTCAGACGCTGCCATGATGTGCCGCGGGCCGGGGTTCAGCAGGATGCTCTTGTTCTCCTCCCTCCGGATGCCGATCAGGCAGACGCCGTATCTGTGCCGGGAGCACGATGTGGACATTCACAGCTGGAAAAAAGCCCCTCTGGGGCTTTGTCCCTGCACAAAGGACCACGCAGGGCCCTCCAGCCCCAGCCCCGACCCCCCGGGGATGCAGACTGACAGATATGCCCTGCCCACCCCTGCCTGTCACTCCCCTGCCCTCACTTCTTGTGCGCGTGGAAGGCGGCGTAGGTGAAGCTCTTCCCCTCGTACTCCATGAAGAACTTGCTGTCGCCCATCCGGATGTGATAGACCTCGTTGCCCGAGCAGCGCCCGTACATCCGCTGCCACTGCTCCGGGGACTCCTGGCCCTCCCTGCAATGACAGGAGCAACGTGCTGGGATAGAACCACCCGCTGTTGGGATGGACCCGCCGGCGCCAGGATGGATCCCCTTGGTGCTGGGATGGGACCGTCCATGGTGCCAGGATGGGACACCCCAGTTCTGGCACAGAGCCCGGCACACGAGGCACCTCCCGGGGCAGAGCCGCACGGTTGGGGTGCTAATAAATGCCAAAGCTGCCATTTAGACCAACGGCAGCGAGGTTACAGTGACGCATCTCCACGAGCTGTCGGCATGTGCAGGCTGAGGACGAGCTCATTTTCATTTCTGACTTTAAGCACCTTTTTATTTAACGAGGGCTCCCAGGGGGGGCGTAGAGGCAGGGTTCAGAGCCTGTGTTGGCAAACAGCTCTGAGCATGGGGCGAGAGTCATCTGGAAATAACGGTTCGTAACTCTTTTGATGGCAGTTTACCCAAAATTCAGACATTTGTGCCTGGCCAAGGAGCACGGACCCACATCATCACTTTACTGGGCTTTACATTGCTCCTTCCAGCTGTCCGGGTTTGCACGGGCTGTGAATTAACCTTCCCGCTCATGGGATCAGGCCAGTATAAAGAAGATATTTTTGTTCCCAGTCTCTGCCATCCCTCCATGCTCAGGCTGGGGCAGTTGAGCTGGGCAGGGGCAGGCAGGGGCATGCAAGCAGCACTCACTGGCCTCTGGAGGTGTGCACCAGCAGTGTGATGAGGGTGGAGGTGGCAGGGCAGACGCAGTTCAACGCCAGCATGGCGTATTTGCACTCCTCTTCACAGACAACATGATCTGAAAGGCAGAGGGGACTGTCACAGCGGGGAGGGGGACAGGTGGGTTCCTTGGCCAGCGGTGTCCAGGGATGCAGTAATTCTGGGGTGGCATTTGGGGCTTCCTCCTCCTGCCAGTCTGGGAGGGCTTTCAGCTGATCAGCAGCCCATGGGGAACAGCACAACTGGCGTTAATGTAGGCAGGAAAGCAGGGATGGAGGCTGGAAACCAACCAGGTGGACACTGCCACGTCCATGGGGACGCACACACGGGCACATGTGGGGCTGGTGTGCGATTGGGAGGAATCTCAGAACCAGGTCACGGACTCCCCTAAGATGGAAACCCCACTGGAAACATCCCTGATGGCAGGTAAGACAGTCCGGAGCAGCGAAGCGAGCTGTGCTGCCCGCTGCTGCGCAGCCCCTCCAACTCACCAGCAAACTTGACGTGAAACTTGTTTTCAGGCTTTAGGATCTGAACATAGAGAGGACAGTTTGGAGCAAAATCTTTCACAGCCCAGGCTCTCAGAATGGTCTGGTGGTCCTGGCCGAGGAGAAGAACAAGAGCTACTTGTCTGATGGGTTATTTTCCCAAACACCCAGAATGAACTGCGAAGCACCCAGCCACTGCGGAGATGTATGGCAAGGGCTCCTCCAGCACCCGCTGCTAACAGGGGGTAACCTCCCTCCCCTGCTGCCCAAAACCCAGCACTGACGGGCAACTGGGACAGTGACCCAGCACTGACGGGCAACTGGGAGAGCGGAGGGAAGGTTTGCCCACAGGGGCTGTCCCCATGCCACCTCTGATTCTCCGTGGTCGCCGCCTGCCCACAGGGACCCTTCGGCAGCTTTGTTCCAAGCAGGAGTGCCAAGTGCCGAAGGAGGGAAGGGGCAGACAGTGCCTCAGCAGCAGGAAGGGAGCCTGGCACCCCTCCAGTGGGGCCACACGGGCTCAGGACAGCACAGGCAGCACCCCCGGCACCAGCCGGCAGCGAGAGCTGTCACTGCTGCCACCTCCTTCCTCTCCAGTGGCTCCAAAACTAAGACCTTCCCAGCAAAGTCTCTGTCCAGGCTGAGGTAAGACTGCATGAGGCCAGGAGGCTTTGGGGTGACTTCCCCAGGGCACGCGGGGGGCACAGCCTGTGTGGGTACCACCCAGGGGACAGTGCTCAGCACTCGAACCCCGCGCTCTTGCCCCGGCTGCCTCCCAGCACGCTCCTGTGCCGTGCAGAGGCAAGATTCAGCGATCACCCAGTCCCTGCCGGTCTGAGAAATGAATCTTCTCCCACTGTGCCACGCCCCAGGCCTGGCTTACCGCCGCAGTGCGGTCCACCTCGTTTCGGCTGCTGAGAATGAAGCAGGCTTCTCCGTTGTCCATCCTACAAACGGAGAGCAACCACCCCATCAATTGCGTGGGCTAGTAAAGCTGGGCATCTGCCCGTCCCAGATGGGCACTGGTCAACCCATCCAAGACCCCAGCGGAGGCACGTAGGGATGCCCATCACCATGCATCTGGGCTGACATCACTGGGGACCCCCCTCCGCGGCTCCAAGGCCCACAGGCAGCTCCACAGCGTGGCAGGACTGGCCTCGCTGTGAATGTGCAGCGTGTCCCTTTGCTCACTTGGCTCTCATGAGGTCCTGGTCCTTCAGCGCAGAGCCCTGGAGGTAAATCACTCGCTGCGACCACAGAGGGATCTGCAGGACCCGCCGCACCTGGATGTCCATCTCTGTTGGGCAGAGTATCACCACGTAGTAATCCTGCAAGAGAGAGGCTCGCGTGGGTCGGGGGGCTGGCGGTCCCGTGCACGCCTGCCAGGACATGGGGGTTTGCTGCCTGAGCAAACAGCTCCTCTGGGGCTTCTGATATTTGCTCCTGGTGTGTGACACCCCCTGCCCCTACGCCAGGGTCCTGCAAGGGTCTTGGGAAACACATCAGCACCTTCTCCATCCTGTTCTGCATCATAAAAAGTGCAGGCACAGCTGACTACAGGACTAGGGAAGAGCTGCACGCCCACAGCAAAGCGGAGCCTCTTGCAGTTACAGCGATGAGCAGGATTTTAAAGCTGGAATGTACGGAGTCGGGGCTGGGCGATGGCAGTGAAGCGCATGTGAGTGTTGGGATGAAATGCAAATCTGAAACACGTCCGTGATGCTCTCATGCTGGGGAGCAGGAAAGGCACAGTCATTTGCAAGAAAATCTCTCATTATGTGGGGATACTCCAGTAAGAGCTGGATGAATCCCACCGAGGTTTAGCATTTACAGGTTCTGTTTCTGTCTGAGATTCTTCATTGAGCAAAGACATCCTTACATTTAGGAAAGTCCCTCTGGTCCCTCTCCATGTGCTTACCCAGTGCTCTAACAGGCCTGGCTGGAAAATGGAGTGGATCAGGCAGAGAGCCCCACCACTGAGACAGCAAAGCGACGTGGCCCTTAGGGTACCACACGTCACCTCGCCTTGGCCGGTGCAGCACGTGCTTCCCGGTGCTGGGCTGGATGGTTTTTTACTTTATTCTTTGCCCCATCCACTGTAGCTGGGCAGGGCACTCGCCACCAGCAGTGACCTGGCTGTGCCCAGCGTGGCTGCGAGCCCAGCGAGGGCAAGCGCTGAGCGAGCAGAGGAGAACACGCCTGGTCCTCACCTGCAGACGCGGGTGGGCATAAAACTCGTTGAGGAAGTCCATGAGGAGATCGATCTTGAGGGAGCTGACACAAAGGACGACGTGTTTCTCTGTCTGGGCACGGTGACGGCTGTAATTGCCTCCCGACTTCTGCCGCTCCATCCACAGGTAGACGAGCTCCTCAAACTGCAAACGAAGGCAGAGAGGTGATGTCCCCAGCAGCAGGGCTGACTGCGTGCAGGCTCAGCATCCCTCCCCACCCTTGGCTGTGCAGGTCTAACCTGGAGCGGCAGCACAACCAGGGCGACGCAAATCATTATCACGACGAGGAGCTGGGAAGGCCAGATCTTTGGTGTCACGTCTCCATAGCCCACGGTGGAAAAGGTGACGATGCAGAAATAGAAGGACTTGAAGAGGGAGAGCTTCTCACCTGCTCTTTCTAAATGCTGGATGCCACAGGTCCTGAAGGGAGAAAGCACACATCACAGAGAGTGTTGCCCGACCCCGGAGACACGCGGTGCCCAGAGCTGAAGTCAGTGAACACTGATTTACACCCATGGCCATGGAGGAAATCTGTCTGTAACACACTGTCAGCATCCACAGTGGGTTTATGTCACCAACAGAAATTCAGCTGATGGCACTTACAGATGAAGGAGTTCGTTTGATGTGGTTGCTCACCAAAGCAGCCAGGGGAAGTCCAGGTCCTAGGACCATACCACGGAGAGCTTGTTGTACATCACCCAAGGGCTGCCCTTGCATTGCCAAAAAACAAAATGTGGAAGCAAGCAGCTGTCTCAGTAAGGCTCTGGAGGGACTCAGCCCACAGGAAGGGCTCTCTGTTACAGAGGGGATGTGCTCCAGCAGGCAGGAGGCAGGTCCCACCGCCCCCTCCCAGCCCTGTGCCGCTGCCCTCACAGAGCCGTGCCACAGAGCTGTCCTGCTCCCCGCGGGTAGGCGTGCAGCCAGAAACCTGCAGTTTCAAAGTCATCTTGCTGAAAACAAGTGTCGCCTAAATCATCCTGGACCCGAATTGTAGCCCTGCCACATCCGCCAAGAATCACATCCACAGCCTCAGCGGGCCGGAGGTGCGACGGGCGCTGGCGAGCTCCAAAACTGCATTAGTCATCCGCATCAGAGGATGGTCTTTATTGCCAAAGACTCATGAACCTAAAAGCTTTGTTTCCTGTCCGTTCAGCAACTTAATGGCATTATAGGCTTCAAATCCAGACCAAGGGAGCTGGAGGAAGATTCAAGAAGCTCAGTTCAAAGCTAAGGACTCAGCGATGAGAACTGACTCCTCCATAAGGAGACGGCCTTGTTGTTGGCAATGCGCAGGGTGAAGGGCCCAGTTAATTAGCAGAAGTCCCGGCGGCCTATTACACAAACGAGCCCAGCAGCCGTGGTAAGTTGGTGGGGAGAAAAGCACGGTCGGGGCCAGCGAGCGTGATGTGTCCTGGTGAATGAGCCAGTGTCCCCGCGGGAGGCTGCTGTCCCCACCCCTGACCCTTCAGCACTCACAGCCCCGCTCTGACTCTTGTCTGCACCACCCATCTCCCTCCAACAACGCGCTTATCCTCACACATGCCCGTTGAAAAGTTTCTGTTAAAGTCATATAATTAGGGAGGAGTGTTCTGTGCACTGGGGAACGAAGGGAGGAGCCCGGCGGGGGGGGCTGGTGGTGCTGGGGGTCCTCCCAAAGCTTCAGCAGACGTGGCTGTGCCCAAGCCAAAGCCCAAGGACAGGAGGGGAAACCTGGGGCACGCTCCTTGCCATGGCTCCCCCTGTTCCAAAACTCAGCCTGAGTACCTGGGACTTGTCCCATTAGCAAAGGAAGGATGCCAGAGGCTTGGGAGCTCAAACCAGTCAGCAGCCTGTACAGTTATGCTTTCCTCAATGCGCACAAACCTCTAAAAAATCAGGTTAAAAAAAATATTTCTGAATGCAGAAGCTCCTCCGGCTTCCCAAATCACCACGTTACGTCCTGGCAATGCCGCCCCACCACAGCTGGGAAGGTCCCACCCCCCTCCCTCCCCTGGAAGCCCTGCGAGAGCCTGGCTCCGCCACTCACCCCTGGGACGTGCAGAGTTAGTTTCCCTGGGCAAAGAAGGTGGTTGGGTGTAACGAAGGGCAACACTCACCCCGTGAAAACGAGACACAGGAGGGTGCAGATCAGAATGAGCACCTGGTTAAACATCGCAGACTGGGTCCTTTGTATGGCGCGGTGCAGGTCGTTCTGGGGAGAGAGGACAGGGCTCCACCAGCTCGGGGAGGCGGAGGGGGACGTACCCCTCCAGGTACTAACTGCTCTTGCTGGCTCCAGCAACGCCCCCCCCGACGTGGAGGTCAGGCCAGAATCTGGCCCTTGAAAAGGGATGTGCATTTCTGTGAGCAGGTCTGGGCTCTGCTGCCAGTAGAGACAGCTCGAGTGGGCACGTGGGCACGGCTGGAGTTTCTCAAACTGCTGTACTGCCCCACCCCGGGGACAGCCGGAGGCCGGCCCTGTCAATATGCAGCCAACAGACTCAGCGTGGCTCAGACACTGAAGATCCACAGCCCAGCATCGCCAGCTGGCAAAGCCTCACCCCCCCGCCAACCCCGGCACGGCGCCACACGCCGAGCACCAAAAACCTGCCCGAGGGCCGGCGGCAGGCGAGGGCTCCCTGCCACGCCACCCCCGGCATCCCCAGGGCAGAGGGACCCAGGACGAAAGGGGTGGGATGCAGCCCGTCACTCACAATCATGTTCTCCAGGGCGTACTTGGCGAGCCAGCAGTTCAGAAACACGGGAATGAACAAATTCCGCAAAGGAGGCCAGAATATCTACAAAAACAAGAGTGACTCGCAGGAAAACCCACGTTCTTTATCAAAAAAAAGCTACAAACAGCCACCTCGAGCCCTGTTGGGAAGGATCCATCCCCAGACTAAGCACCGGCCTCTGCAGGAGCTGCCACCGAGAGCAGCCCCGCTCCCCGGGCTGCAGCACAGCAGCTGAAAATGGAGGATGGCCTTTGGGGTAACACTCCAGAGAAAGACATTATACTGAAAAATATCGAAGCAAAAATTTCCTGCCAGCTTTAAATACTACTTGGCCGGACGTCTGTTTGCGTCACCACCAAAACTACAGGACTTATTAAACTTAAAGCTGTTGTAAAATTTCACCGGGAAACACTCACCGTGATAATAAACGGCACCGTGTTGATCATCTCGAGGATGAACGAAATGCGAAAAATCTGTTCCCAGATGTTCCCCTGAGGAATTAAAAACAAAGAATAATTAAACAACCTGAAAAATAGGCCGATTTGTAATTAAAAATCTCTCACTCGGCCACAGATCCTGCTGGATAGGGGAAGTATGCCAGAGCAGCCAGAGAGATGCTCCAGTCTGCCTGCGGGTGAGAGATTCAGTGCTGGTGCCAGGCACGCTGGAGCCAGTAAAACCTTCCCAAACCGTTCAGTCCCTTCTGCAGCCACAATATCCGTCTGTCTCTCTGTCCATCACTGCTGCTCCGTCACAAAGCCGGGGGACAATAAGGCTTCGTGCAAGGACAAAGAATGAGAGTGACTGATACAGACCCTGGCACACAAACCAGGCGGTGACACGGGGTCTGAGGCTCTTCTGCCAACTGGCCCAGGGACCCTGAGAAGGTGCCATTTGTTAAGGTTGTTTTTCTTGGCCGTTTTAAGGGGCTTTGGTCCAAAGGAGTCAGCTTGTGCCTCTCCCTGTCTGGTTTGGAGCAGCACCTGCTACCTCCGGAGGCAGCAGACCTCGACACAAGCAGGAGTCACGGCGCCGAGCGCAGCTCCAGGTCCTCAAGATTAGGAAACTCGGTGTGTGTCAATCTGGCTCCCCATAAAAACAGTGAGCCTTTGCAGAGAGGTCGGAATTTAAAGGAAAGTGGAAAAAGAAGAGATCCCCCAGCTCTGCTCTGCACTTATCTGACAGCCCAAGATGGAATGAGAAAGGAAAACAGCCGCAGCCAGCTGGGACATCACCGAGACAAACGTCCTCTCAGGATGCTTCAGGCTCCAGCCAGCTCGAAGGAGAAGTGAATTCACACTGGGGGGGTCAGACCCAGGCTGAGCATCACTGTCCACCGCCCGCCCCGGGGCTCTTACCTTGTAGCTGAGATAGATGAGCAGCATGGTCTCCAGAAAGCTGATCAAAGCGATGCTGACCTGCAGACACAAGCAAAGGCTGCTGAGGGCTCCTTCGGTGCATCGTCAGTCGGTCGGGGCTCTGCCAAGCCCTCCCGTGCCCTGGGCCATAGGAGCCCGCGGGTATGGCAGATGAAGGCTGTTTGGTTGCTCTCCCTGCACCCACCGGGGTTAGAGGTGCGGGTGTCTGTCACACACCAGCAACAGGCCTGCGGGCAGCCCCGCCGGGAGCCAGCGAGCGCCCGACCCTCCTGTGATGCCCCTGGCCTCCAAACAGCCCGTTACTGGCACAGCGGCACCACGGGAGGACCTGAGACAGCCTCATGATTTTATCTTCCTACAGCTTGTCCGCTCCTCTCAGCCCCTGGGATTTTCACCCAGGGCCGTGTGGCCGCTCCCGGCAGAAGCCCCAGCTCATTTTTCTGCTCGCCCAAGACACCCCGTTGCCCCTCACTGCTGCAGGCAGAGGATGCCCGGAGTCACGCTGGGTGCAGAGCTCAAACCCCAGCTCCAACTCCTGCTCGGCTCTTGCACAACCGTGCCCGAGGGCTGGGCACTCACCTGCACAGCCCACAGCGGCATTTTCCTATCCACCCAGAAGATGTGTGACCTGCAAAGAAAATTCAAAACGGATCTAAACTGAAGCCTAACTAGCAGTGGCTTTACCCCCACCGGATGCAAATCTGAGGCCACCAACGGATGCAGGATCCAGCACAGGACTGGTACTGGTGTTTCTTACTGGACAAGCAGCCTCTGCTCTGAGGATAAGCCATTCCCAAGCACATTCCCACAGCACTTGAACTGATCCTGGGAGGGTCCCTTGAACAACCCCATGACCAAGAAATGGCCTCGGGCAGCTGCCAGCACCAGCCACATCCATCACTGTGTCCCCCCGTCGCCACTCTCGACTCACCAGTTTATCTTCGTGGACTGGTTGAACGCTGTGTAATTCTGCTTTTCGCATTCCCAGCTAGAAGAAGAGAAAGACAAAGCAGGGGAAAGCAGTCAGAAAGGAAAAGGGGTGCTGGCGTTGACTCCCCAGGCTCAGGGGGTGCCCTCGCCGCTGTGTCCTGATGCTGGGGGATGACCCCAAACACTCCCACAGATCCAAACACACGCTGGCCCCTAAAATCGGGGCTTTCCACTGGAGCCTGTCTCACCCAGGCGGTTTTTAACATTCTATTCCTGGAGTATAAGACCCATCAGGCACTTCAGCTCGTACCAGAGATGCTACAAAATGCTGATACTCGCCAGGCACGGGGTTCCTTGGGCACAGGGCTGCAGCTGGGAATTGCCAGGTTACAATTAGCAAAAGCTGCTGAGCTTCAGCTTCGAGGACAAGGCTGGCCGTGCCCCGAGCAGCCTGCCAGGCAGGCAGCGCTGCCGCCAAACCCTCCCCTTGCCTGGCTGCGAGGGATGCACTGATTTTGTCACACACCCTCAGAAGGGTGGATATCCCCGAGCTGCAGCTGTGCTAAACCTTTCAAGGATGCGTGTCTGGGTCACGCATAATCCTTCCCGGTTTAAAACCACTTTTGGACTAGGCAGGTGCATTTAGTAGTCTGCAACCTTTACAGGGAATAATTAATTTGCTAATTCTCCTAGCTCTTGAAAGAAAGGAAAAAAAAAAAGAAAAAAAATCACTGCACTGTATGTGAGCTAAACAAAGCAAGGACATATTAAAAATAGGTTTATACTGAAACCCAGAGCAAATGTAATCATCTGTCATCTCGGGGATCTAAATGGCAAAACATATTTCCTTCCCAAATGCTCAAATGGGATTTAGCATACGCGTCTTCAAGGGCATCAGGATTCAGAAAAAAACTTGCGTGTGATGCACTGAAATCATGAGCTCCTGCCTGTGTCTGAAGGCCACGCCGCGGCCCTGACCATTAGAGCCAGGCAGCATTTCGAAACACCGTGACTCTGAATTTTTCCCCTTTTCCCACGTGCTGTGCAGGGCCGGCGGACACCCACACTCCTGTCCACAGGGTTTGAGCAGGGAGCAAAGCCCACCCGACCAGCAAGTTTTGTTGAACTACCGACTCAAGCAGCCAGAGTGAGAAAAAAAAACCAAACATCCGTGCTGCATCATCACAGCTGGCACCACATCCACGCTCCCCAGGGCGCAGGGCGGGCACTCACCAGCCTGTGCCCTCCTCGGGGTTGTCGAGCAGGACGCGGACGATGTACAGGAGGCAGGTGAGCAGCTTCAGCGAGAAGTTGAAGAGCCGGATCCTCAGGCCTGCAGCAGAGGGGAGCACGGCGTGGGCACCCCGGGCACCCCACAGCACAGCCCCTTTAGCTTCCCACAAGCTTTGTGGACCCCCCCCCCCCGAGCCCCAGAGAAGCTGCAGGAGCCCCGGGGCAGCACACAGACATTGCTCACCCTTTACCTGGGGCTCTACCCAGTGTCAGGTATACAGGAGACTAACACAGAAATAAATAATGATGAGTCAGCTCCTTGCTGGCCCCAATAGATGTGAGAGACAAATGAGGAGCTGCTGCAGTGTAGCCCCTCATTAACAGGAATCCGTTAAAAACAATCAGACAGGCAGGGCCAGGGCCCAGCTCCGCTCACTCTGCTGCAAACAGCTTGCAGGAGGAGGGATGGCAAGCAAAAGCTGCTGCTTTATCCGCTCTCCCTCCCCAGCCAGTTCATCGGGTTATTACTCAAATTACAAGTGAGAAATTCATCACATTTTCATTAAAAACTTCCCCGTGGGCGCCCTGTTGTGCTGCACTCCAGCTTTGTAACAAGACGACAGGATGCAGGGAGGAAAAGAAAATGTGAATTTATAAATTAACGAGCAGGACTCCCTCCAGACAGCTAATGACATCGCGGGGAAAGAAAATAAAAACACCATTAGTCAAGTGAAGGCTAATTGGGATGGCTGAAGCAGGAGCAGATAACTCACAGCCACCCACCACCCTGTGGGCCGGGGGGGGGACCATCGCCGGCCCCGTGATGGGGACATTTGTTTCCTGACACCCCCCCCAGGCAGCTCTCGATGCCCACCCTGCTCCTGACCAATTTGTTCCAGCTGGTTCCCGTGCTGGGGCTGACCCCAGTGAGCAAAGCAGTAGGCAGCATCCCCTCCTCCACCTCCAACCGCATCCCTCCAAACCAAGTTGGCCAACACCCAACAGAAAGGCCACCAGGCAGCTGGGGACACACAAGGGAAGAGCCACCAGCAGATGGCAATGGCTTCTCGTCCCATGAGGACAGAGCACGGCTCTCTCAGCTCAGGCAGGGTTTGGTTTCTCCCCGCAGATGCTCACGCCACGCATAGATTACTCACTCGATCGCTGGTTTTTGATGAAGAAGAGTTTCAGCCGCTCCTTGAAGGTGTTTTCGTTCACGTAGAACTCCCCTGGGGGGGGGGAAGTGCCCAGAGGAGGCTGTCAGTGGGCTGGCAGGTCAGACCCGGAGCCCCCCAGGCGCCTCGTGCCCCCCATCCCAGCCAGGTGACCCCCCTGAGCAGCCCACAGCAGACCCCGGGCTTAGCCGCGGGCGCCCAGCTGCTCCCACAGAACCAAATCACCGGTACCACCAGCCGTGAGCACCAAGACATGGGGCATCAACAACTACCGTGACCCACGGGGCCAGGTCTCTTTGGGTTGAGGGCTTTGTGTTCATTCACATGCTGACATCGGACTTGCAGACTTCTCCTTTCCCGCACACTTTAGGATGCTCAAAGCCTCTCAGAAAAGGGGTGGCCTTGGAGCAGTCTCCCCCATGGCTGCAGCAGAGCAGGAGCCAGCGAGGTACACCCATGGCTCTGCCCAGGTAGGAGCAACATCCAGCACCAAAGATGTTAAAAACCAAATCTGATCTAAAAGGAGAAAAATTCCCTTTGTTGCTAAGATACCACACTTGCCCGTTCCAGAAAAACCCAGAAGCTGCTCAACCAAGTCCCAGCATCACTTGGCATTCGGAGCCGCTGGTGGTTTGCCGCACGGGGACCAGGCAGCCAGCTGCCCACTGGGCCACTTGGGCAGAACCACGAAATGAGGAGCCACAGGTGAAACTGAGAACGGCCCGTCCACTGCTGCGACCACACGGGCCCTTCTCCATCTGCAGCTGCCCCCGCCTCCATCGCCGCCGCCCTGCAGCCCGGCGGCCGGTCCCCACGTGCCGGGCAGACGTCCATGACCCTGCGGACGGGCGAGAGCATCACCAGGGCTGGAGGTTCCTCCAGAGCGGTGTCAGCGGCGTCTGGGATCAAAGCACACCCCGACTAAGGGTGTTCAGGCAAAACTGGGCCCTGCTCAGCTCATCTGCCACCCACCTCTCCTATTCCTTTATAAACGCCCGCAGCCCTTTGCAAACTCACTTATTCACGTTAGGCAGGATTATAAATTACACTCCTGCCTGCAGCGCAGGCAAAAAGGGACTGTTTTCTGATGCCTCAGCTTCAGACTCTGAGCAAGACAAAGTCTGTTCATTAGCATTACAGCTGATAATGGAGTTAAGTGGAATGAATTAGCTGTTTCCCCTATTTAACTGTATCCAACGGGTCTCTTAATAGTAGCACTTACTTATTACAGTTTTTTTAACTGCTTGGAAGAGGTCATCAAGATCTCATTAATCAGGCGCATTACCAAGCCAAGGCATAGACCAAGGCGAGCAAATTCACGGGGACAATCATTAAACCTATGGCCCCGGTTTGCGTCGCCCGTGCAGCCCCTGTGCACACGTGGCGCTGGCTCCAGCCCAGCGTGCTGCCTGGCACACGCCGCTGGATCCTGATTGATTGGAAAGCAGCTGCTACTCGCTCTGACAACAGAGGGATAAACAAATATTTACTGAGCATTAATGCCGAGCTGATTGGGCAGCAAATTGGGAAGGGTTTGATGAGACCCTCATTGCTCAGGAGTCCCTCGTTCCGGTACCCACCGGCACATGCTGGCGTCTCACAGCCAGCCTGACCGCTCGTGGGGGAACTACTCAGCATGTAAGAGGCATGGCACACCCTTGAAAGCTCCTCGGGGCTTCTCATGGAGTGTTTTATCAGGTTGGAAAGTCATATTTTTAATTTACAAGGCTCTTGTGTACAAAATGCAAACGCACAGAGAGAAACCCATCCCCTCAGGCATGATAGCTGGGATAAAATTTTATGTGGGCTATCAAACTTTGCATGCTTCTGCCATAAGGCAGTAACTGCTCTCTGGTTTCACATCCCTTGGAGTGACCCAGTGGGAACCCGCAGGCAGCTGCCCGGGTGACTGGCAGGGACCCGGTGACAGAGGTGACAATAACCAGCAGCCTCGGTGGGGCAGGCACGGATCTCTGCCAAGGCATTCATGCTGGTTACAGCGCCCAGGGGACGGGTGCCCAGGTACAGCCGGCAGCGCTCGGCAAACCCATCAGCAGCAACGTGAGCACATTGCTCCCACCGGGACGGTCCGCGGAATCCAGAGAAGAAAATGCTAAAACACAAATGCACCCAAGTTGGCAGCCGGAGGGTTTCACCGAGAACAAACCTCACCCCAAACATCCCCAGCTGGCAGCAGCGGCGGGGTCAGGAGCTGAGCCTGCATCTCCCCTGGAGCCCTGAGGCTCGTGGGCTTGAGAAGGGAGCAGGGAGGCGAGTGGGCAACCACGGACCCTGCTGTGGGGACACTGGGGAGCGAGCAGGAGGATTCACATGCGCTGGCTCAGACAGCACGATGCCTTCGGAGCAAGCAGCCATAAATGCAGAGCTTCGTAAGCACAGCTTTCACACATGTTAAAATTAATTGTTTCCAAAGTCCGACTTGGCAAATAATTTATCTGTGTCGGGGCATAAATCAGCTGCCACTGCTCGCAACACTGCACACACAAGCTAATTGCTCCTTCTCCTTATTAAAAACGCCCAGGAAACGCTAGGAACTGGCCTTCAGCTCTGTTGTGAGCGCTGGGCACCCCATTTATCAGAGTCCCTGAGGATTAAGCACATCGAGGAGAGGGAGACTTCAGGGAGCACGATTCCTCTCCCAGACATTCGCCTCCGTACCGAAGGAACAAACAGCAATATAAATCTCTGTCGCCAGACAGATGGTTTGCTGATCTATAGCGCTGCAGCCCACCTCGAGACTCTGAATATAAACTCTGATGGATAAGAGAACGGAATGATTAGACGAGATCTAACTTTTTATGACAAAGTAGCCCATGTATTCATCCATCATAACGGCCTCAGGGAGGAAAAATGCTTGGGAAGCAACTGAAGCAGGTCTCAGCGGGGCGGAAAGGGGATGTTTATCACTCCAAAGAGACAAAGGAATAAAAGTGGGTAGAAAGAACACGTTCCTGTGCAGACAACCTAGCCACACTGCTAACTGGGCTAGGCCCTGGGGCTGTATTGGGGTCCACAGCCATGGCCCTGCTGAGCCCCAACACCCCCCCGGGGTGACCGTCCCGGAGGGCTTCTGTCTGGCGGAGGGGGAGGGCAGAGCCAGGGCTCAGTGTGATGGGGACCAGGGTGCTGGTACAGCCCGACAGCCCGCTCCGGCACCAGCACCCGCTCGGCAGGTGCCGAATTAAACCAACACCCCAGAGCCGACCCACAGCTGAACAAGTGACAGCTCCTACCAGGCACCAGCAACCATCCAGAACTATCAAAGCTCCTACTCCACTTCCAGCTGAGCAAAGGAGATGGTACCACCGACAACATACCCTTTAATTTCGTTGTCAAGAAGTTAACTTCAAATTTAAAAAAATCAAGCTAAACTCCAACCGCATTACCACGCCAAAACACACACCCCGACGGGCTCTGCCTTCACAGCAGCTCAGCCAAGCTGGTGCATTCAAGCTGCCCCCTCCCCGCTGCCACGGCCGGGTATCCCGACGGCTGAGCATCCCTCTCGCCCGCCGGGCATCGCTCCCGCCGGGCAGCACCGAGGGGCACGGGCACCACGCCATCCCCCCCACCTTGTCCCGGCTGAACCTCCCCAGGCCACGCAGATAATCAGCACAGCACAAGTTTAGTTACAAGCCCTGTGCTTGGAAGTGTAATTACCACTATTACGCACTTCATAATGCCTGAGCAATTTCATTTTCTTTGCTCGGTTATTTATTGTACTTCATTAATCTAAGATTAGAGGCGATTTGTTCTAAAATGATAACCTCCTAAAAAAAGACACAATAGTTTGCTCAGAAAAGTGTGGGATGCCAGACCAGGATGAGCACAGCCCAGCTCAACAGCACTAAAATAGACACCGAGGCGCACAGCCCTGGCTCCATACCTTCCCCAGAGAGCCGGGGACAAACGCGCTCCTCGTAAAGACAAGTAAACCCCCAAAACCAGCCCCTTACATGCAGTCCCACGCCAGGGCTCACCCGCACGGGCAGCGCAGGCAGGGACGGGGGGGACAGAGACGTACCCCTGAGCTCTGTGTCTCGGGGAGACTTACATGGGCAGGTGGGCGCAGGCAGGTCCCCTCCGGTCCCCGCGGCGTGTGACAGCCACCGGGCACGGCCTGAAAACTGAGACGGCTCCAAGCTCCACCAGGCAGCCAAGGGAGCGAGCTGCCACCCCCCGCGCCGGGATGCTGCCCAAAGCCTCCCTGCTGCCCTGCTGCTTTCCAAAGAAGGACTTAGAAGCCCGGAGAGCTTTTGCTCTACTTTATAACAGAGACTTCTTGCCATGAGAAGCGTATCTTCAAATAAATACGGCTCTTGAAAGTCAAGGAAAAAAAAATAAAAAATCTCAGCATCTCTCTGCGGCTCCAGTCCTCACTCTCACACTCTGGCTGGGTGGGAAATGCCATTCTTGTTCCAGGAAATTTCTCAAGAAACTTCCCCCATCGTGTAGTGGGATGCGAACCAGACTCTCCAGAGATCTGAGGTGGGGGGGGAGAAACCAAAACAAAACCAAAATCTCTGCAATCTGGTGGCTGCCGACGTCCACTTCTGCCAAGAGAGTGTGGTCCTAGATGAGACCCCGCTTCATCCCCCCGCTCTGGCTGAGCCCAGAGGTTGGCTCTGCATCCTCCCTGCAAACCCACACAGGTCAAGTACATCAGAAACGTGGCTGTGGCATACGAGGGCTGCAATCCCAGAAATGTGCTGGTGGCCCAGGTGGGCTCGCTGGGGAAGGGCTGGGGGTACCAGCTGCGGCCCCGGGCAGAGGGAGATGAGGAGCAATGCTGGAGGGGCAGCTCTGCATCGCTGATGCCCTCAGCACCCCGCAGTGGGTACTGTGCAAAGGGCAAGGCGCTGCTAAAGCCACCACAGCCGGGCTGCCGCCCGTCCCTCGCTTGGCCACCAGCCCAGCGCAGAGAGCAGCCGGTGCCAGCTGGGCCCCGCGGGGCGTCAGGAGAAGCTGAGTGGAAGCCAAAGTCCTTCCCAAATAAACCACTGAATCAGCCAGCTTGAGGCTCAGATACCCGCTGACGGGCAACCACATGAACTGCCCAGGCTCAACTCCAGCAGCTGCCAGCCCCCTCGATTGCCTCCGGAGATGCTCTTTCCTTTTTTCCACTGTTTTCTTGATGGCAACAGGCACTTGGGTACAGAAGCTACAGCGAGATGGATGACACCGAGTGAGTGTTGTGTACTGAACACCACTCTTGTGACCTCCGCGTTTGCCATCCTCCATCTATCCCGGGGCAAGCGGAGGACGGGGGGCAGCTCCAGCCCTCCGCAGCCGAGCTCCCAGCTCGCCGGCGCGACAAGCTGCTCCCAGCGCACCGTTTTGAGATGGAAAAGGGGAATAGCTGTATGGCTGCGTGTGTATAGAAAACCTGGGTGTCTGCCAAAGCAAGAAGCAAGGAACAGGCTGCCCCCACGCTCAATAAGCAGTAATTGAACAATTACTCAAAGGAGGATGGTTGTGGGTTTCAACAAGGCTGTACCAGCTCAGCGCCGGCGAGCGTGCAAGAAAACGGCTTCAAAACTGCGTGGGGCTGCAAGGCTCGGGGCGGGGGGGGCATCTCCTGCCACAGCCCCGCCATCCCCTGCGTCCCCCCGCCATGCACCAGGCAGCCACGCAGGGACCAGCCCACAACTTGGGCTCTGGGAAATCTGCGCCGTGTCCCTCATCAGCCGGGGACGTGCGTGGGTTCACCCCTCCTGCGGAGAAGCCGGGCAGGACCGATGCTGCACTGCCCGCCAGGCAGGGCTGGACACCCAGTCACCCTCCCACCGAGCCGTGCCGCGGCCAGGAGCTTTCCTCCTGCATATCTCAGCTTCTCTAGAGGGTTATCAAACACCCCCGAACACTTCTCGCCGCAGCAGCTTCTCCAATAAACCACTTGCCTCTCGCCACTTTGGGGGGCAGAGCCCCCTCCTCGCCAACGCTGCCAACTCGCAGAGGGAAGGGGAGAGGGAAGACGTGTCTCAGGATAAAAAACTGGGACCAGGAGGGCACATTTCAGCACCTGGGAGGTACCTGAGAACACTTGGGAGACCAGAGGGAAAGTCCTCACGGTTCAACAGGCCAAGTATTGCAAACAGGGGAAGTCTGCCCATGTTCTAGGAATCGCTCCCGTCGCCCATCCCTTAGAAGCCACTTTCTGCCCCATTCTGCAGAGTCCCGGACGATCCCCATGGATCCTGGCAGCACCCAGTCCCACACAGGCAGTCACAGCCACCGTGGCACCATCACAGCCACCGTGGCACCGTTGTGGCCACCACGGCACTATCACAGCCCCACGGGAAGGCTCCTGCTGGTTCCAGCCTCTCAGCCAGGATGCCTGGGGGGGCCCCACCAGACAGCTGGAGCCCTCCGAGCCGCAGCTCACACAGCGCCAGGAATGAATTCACTGAGCTGCTCGGGCTCTGGGCAGGGCACGTGCCGAGGCACGTCACGATTAGCAAAACTGAGTCCCACACCAATAGACACGCTGCACTGGGAACCAGGACGCTGTGGCACCCATGGCCCCAGGACCAGCTCGGAAACTTGTTTCTTCAAGATTTCATGCATTTACCATGGGAATAAATTGGAAAAGAAGCATCGCCTGTTTTATTATGGAGTGCGATTTTTGCCCAAAGAAAGGAGCGATATTGCCAAACACTCTGCAGCAAATTAAACACAGCTGGATGCAGGTAATGTCATCCTGGCTCCAGCAGTAACACTGCAATTGTGTTTTTGGGGGGATGAAAAGGAAGCTCCGAGCAGCTCCTTCTGGAAAAACTGCCCAAGACCAAGGTTGGTTCCAAAGGCCAGTCCTCATGGCCACTCGTCCTGCGCCAGGAGGTGACCAATGCCCTGAACTCACCCACACAACCCTCCTGTGTCGGTGGGGCAGCGGCCGGGCAGGAGGCACCGCCCCGAGGGCACGAGGGCTCCGCTGAGCTGGGACACAGGCGTCAGCCAGCCCTGACACACGCTGCAGGAAGGGCTTCACAAATCTGTCCTGATTAAAAAAATCATCTGCTGCTGGCCTTCTTTTTCCTGCCTTTTTTTTTTTTTTTTTTTTAGGGAGGACATTGCAATGGAAATGGGATTTTTATCAATTCCTCGTTCCCTGAAGGCAGCTCTAATCCCTCTCCAACTGTATTTAGCAGCTGCAGAGCTAATTTTCAGGCACCAAAGCAAGCACTGGAGGCAGCAGGGATGCACTCAAGGCTTGGAGTTGAAGATCTCTCCAAGTACCAAAGAGCAAGGGGCAGTAATGTTTGAAAAAACCACGAGTTTGGGTCTGGGGTGAAGCAGGACACGCTGCTTCATCCCAGGGCTGCTCCGGTGACTCCCCAACTGGGAGCCCCAGCAAAGGGCCATTCCTGAGGGACAGCACGGCTCTGGATATTGGCACATGTGCGCCTTGGGAAGGTGGCACAGGGTGAGCATGGCCAAGAGGAGCCAGGGGAGCACCAAGGGGCTCCGTGCTGCGCCCAGGTGCAAGCCCACCGACACGCCTGTGGCAAGCGGGGGAGCGGGCCCTGGCCCACAGCCTGCTCCCCGAGCTGGGTGCTGAGCCAGGCAGGACGGGGAGCCCCTGCAGCAAGGATGGGCTATGTGGGGGCCTGATCCCGGCTCTCACTCGGCACTGGCCCTGGGCAAGGACACACTCATCCCCCAGGTCACCTTCCCACTGCATCTCCCACCCAAGGTCTCAGCGGATGCACGGAGCAGCCCCAGCCCTGGCCCCACGCTGCTCGCAGCCGGGCAGTGGCACCACTTGCTCTTAATAAAATAGGAATGATAGAAAAGATTAAAACCCGGGAAGCGAAGAAGCAACGGAATAGCACGCTGTGTTTTGTTTGGCTTATTTGTTTTGCAACATTAGAGATTGACGCTCATGAGTCGGCTCCTGTAATTGCCTCTGCTGATGAATTTGGATTGTTTAATTAGAGTCTGCGCATGGAGCTCATCGCTAATGGGTAATCACCAGTTTGCTGCAAGGATATCGCTTCTTCCCCAAGAAACTTCTCTGTCTCTGAGTGCAGCTACCACTCGCCATGGCGGGCCTCCCTGCCCCTTCAGAAGGGTTTGCTGGTCCCGTACACAACTCCTTGGTGCCAAGAGCAGTAAAGGACCAACCTTGCCCTCATCACCTCCCTTAAAAGCAGAATAATCTTACCACTAATTTAAAGTCAAGGCCAACCACTCCTCTTGGCAGCAGGTACCACCCAAAATACTTGGCTCACAAGACACCACGCACACACGCATCGCACAAACACCCCAAATTGCAAGAGGTTTTTGCTCTCTGGAGAAGGCAGTTGGCTTGTCCCCCATGGAAGAGTGCTGGTCCCCGGGGCCAGCGGTGTCACAGCAGCCCTCACCCCCTCCCCGCGGCGCAGGTGCACTTACTGCGAGAAGGAGGAATCCACGCTGAAGTCCTCGGCATGAGGCCTACAGAGCGAGAGCATCACAGGAGGTGAGGGAAACGTACAGCGGCCAGGCAGAGACCAGAGCGACAGCCGGAGCCATGCCGCAGGGAACACCAACACCGGAGGGACAAGCGACCGCCCGAGGGCTCGGCCGGGGATGTGTCCCTGCTGAGGTCCCCACGATGGGGACGCTGGGGACCCGGTGATGGTCTGGTCGCTTTGCCAGTGTATGGCCCCTTTAAGGACTCAGCTCGATGGAGAAAAAACATTTTTTTTAATGCTTTTTTTAATTTTTTTTTTTTTTTTTAATGAGTCTCGCAAACTGCATCGCTGCTCTGTCTCAAATCAGTGTCATGCTTTCTGCGAAGAAATCAGGTTTTGAAAGTTGCTGGTCGGGGTGTTTCTAGGAACCCAATACTGCATTTCTCCTACACACACCTTCACAGAGCTGATTTGACAGACACAGGTGATGACCAGAGAAAGGAAAACGGAATAAAATAAAAGAACAGAAAGGAACGATGAGAGTAACACAGGGGATCACAGCAGGGGGGAAAAGAAGAACACGGAGACGTAGCGAGAGTGGGTGGGAGGCGAAGGGGCTGTGCTCGTGTACTGTACATCTCACAGACAGACAGACAGCAGCGCAGGGCTATGAAACAAAGCAATTGGAGCTGCAAAAATAAAAAATTCCTTAAAAAAAATGCTCTCTTCGAGACGTAGCCATCACTGGGATGGCCACAGGTCCCTATCACCTGAGCTGGAGCCCTTCCCTGCCTCCCAGCATCCAGCAGTGCCCCCTCTCCTGTCCTCATTTAACATGAGTCAGGGCAGTCGAGACATAACCAGAGCAAAGGGGCCAGTTGCAGCTTGTAAAGGTTTTTTTTTTTTATTTTCTTCTGCTTTGTGCTTTATGAGTCCACAGCGCTCCAGCATAGTTCAAACCAAATAAAGGCAATAAATTCACATTTCAATTAAAATGCGAGTCCAGAGGAAAGATAATTCATCCCTCAGCTACGAGGCACACAGAGCAGCCTCCCTGAGACGTTATTTAGTTTTGCTGCTACTCTGATTTTATCATCTGTGCAAAGACTGCAGGGAGGAGCCCATCACCCCAGAGCCAAACCGCCTGCAGTGAGCACAGGCTGTGCCGACCAGAGCCAACGTCCTGGGTGACGATGACAGTGACATCCCCCCGCATCAGACCCGGGACACCCGCGAGAGCTGCTTGACTTGGGAGAGATGCTCAAGTCAAGGGGCTCCCACCTCCCGCTCTGCGGGCTCAGCCCTGGCCGAGCCTCCGCCACCGCTCCTGGACCCGAGGAGCCCACGGGGGCTCCCACAGGCACCCAGCACCCCCAGCCTGGCTTTGTGGCCCTGTGGCCACACACCCAGCCTTGCTCACGAAAAAAAAAAAAAAAAATCTGCTTGCAAAAAGAAAGCCATTGACCTGCCAGCTTCCCTTGCTCATTTTCAATTTGCTGGGGCGACGAACACGGAGCAGTAAGTCAGTTCACACCCAAGCGGTCTCTCGTGCCACCCATCCCAGCGATGACAAGCCCCAGGGTGGGTCCATCAGCTGCACCGTCCCTCCGAGCAGCCCCAGCGTTTATGAATAACAAACAACCCAGAGTTTCTCCAGCTGCAAACCAGAGGCAAGCGCAGCCCAGGGGAAGGAGCCCCGCAGCTCAGCCTCCCTCCTGCCAGATTGGATTATCCCACATTAGCAGCAGGGGCTGTTCAAGCCCCTCCACTCGCCTTTGGTTTTGCACAGGAGCCTTTTATGCCTCGCAGAGATGTTTATGGGAAGGAAACAGCGAAAGATTTGGCTTTCTCCTAATATACTGCCAGCTGGCAACTGGGAGGACTGGACAAACAGGGGCTTATTTCAGCTGCAACTCCCCAAAGCAGAAGAACACTCCTGGGAACCAAACAGCAATGGCACATTTAATCACACAGCTCGATGGGGTCCTGCAGATCCCGGAGGTTTGGTGTCACTGTGGGTCCCGGAGCATCGGGACGAGCCAGCGTGATTCACAAGACACCTTCCCCAGGCAGGCAAACCACCGGCTCGAGAGGCAAATAAACATCTCCCTCACAAAAAGGCACCAATAAACAGGACTCTGAAGTCATGGACGGACCATAAAAGTCCCCAGCAGGGGTTTTCACCACTCTATGATGTGGTTAAAGCACACGTGAGAAAATAGAAAAAAAAAAAAAAAAAAGCGCTCTGGGCTTCCAAATGAATGAACTGCTTTATGCCGGTGTCAGGGGAAGAACCGACCCCGCGATGTCACACTTCCTCCTTCTTCCTACCAGGCACCCAAATTCTCATGAACAGTCTAATTGCTGAGAAAATATGGAAAATTCTTTAAGAAAACTAAAAATCACTCCAATTCTCATCTGAAAAACAGTTGTTTTCCAGATCCCCAAATTTTTTCAGAAGTGCAAGCCCCGCCCGAGCAGAGATTCCCCTCTGCACAAGCATCCTCCCTTTGCTGCTCCCCACAAACCTCAGCCCAGCCTCTGGGGATTTGTCTGCAGTGCCACTTATCTCACAACTAATGCAGGTTGCCTGCCCAGCAATGAGCCCTTTTGTGTTCAGTCTCACTTGAGAGGAAAGAGTCGATTTACGATGTACAGAATTAAAGCCATTTAAGTGAGTCAGAAAGGTTACGCTGGCTTTTAATGTGTTTTACATAATCTACTTTAAACTCACTTTTTTATTTCATCCAGATCCGCCTCCCTGAGCATCCCTGCGCGGACAAACCTCGTCTCATCTCATTCCTATCACAAAAGGTAACTAGGCACGGGCGGCAGGCCCGACTTTTGCTCCCCTCCTGACTCCAGGGTCTGGGAGAGAAGTGCCCGGAGAGGGAAAGCCAAAGCCCCTCCTCTGGGCCCTGCAAACCCTTACACCAGGAATCCGAGCTCCCAGCTGGCACAAGCAGCATCACCCGGGGAGAGGGGCAGAGCAGGGAGGGACAAGAGAAAGGAGAGGAGCGGAGGGGGAAGAAACTTTGCCGCTACAGAGACAGGTCTGGCATCACGTTTCGAGCTGCAGCCCCTTGCAGAAGGGAAAGGTTTTATTAGAAGGTGAAGAGACAATGGCGTATTTATTATTAGAACAAAAGCCACTCATAAACCTTGCTTATGTACCAGAGAGAGCAATCACCTGCCCACCCACACTGTGCGGCAGCGCCTCGCCTGAGCAGCCACCTTGTCACCCCCCTCCTGCCTCCTCGGCTCCAGTTCCAGCTCCAGCACACCCCAGTAAAGCCAGTTCCCGTCCCTGGAGCTGGGCAGGGGTGCGGGCAGCACCCCCTGGGCCCTGCTCCCCCAAGGATTCGGGCTGCGGACCCAAGGCTCTTCGCCCCGGGGAGGGGAAGGCAGCCCCAGCTCTCCCCCCAGCTCCGCCAGGGCCCTGCGGGATCTGGGTGGCATTTAGCTCATCCTTTTCATGCAGATACTTTGCGGCTGAATCCTTTCCCTGTGTTTAAAGTGGTTGAAGATGCTCAGACGGAGGAGAGAGCAGCAAAGCATGGCAGCAGCTCCGCTGAGCTCACAGAGAGACCCGCTCCCTCCCAGCGAACTCCCTGCCAGCTCCACACCATTGCCGCTGTCTCCTGATTTTTCCGGGAGGTATTTTGGTAAATGAAGGGTATTAAAAATTCACTTCTGGTCATGCAGTTCCTATTCAATTTACAGCCATCGTTTCCAAGAAAAAAAAAAAAAAAAAAAGCATGCCTTGACTTAAAGCCCCTGGAAGTTACAAAGACACAAGTAATGACCTGCCAACACCACACGCGGCTTCAGGCTGCTTAATAACCACTTGCAAGGCTCAGAGGCGTTTCGAGACCAACATTTCGACTCCGTCTCAGAGCCGGAGGAAAAGAGCTGTCAGATTTAGTGCCCTTTAGCCCCCGGTCTTGAAATGCCTCCAAGACAGGGGCAAGGCAGGGGGTTGAAGATGAACCAAGCAAAGTAACTGCTTGGAAAGGCTTCCTGAAGTGGTGTTCATCCTCTAAGACATGAGACGCACCATGGTTCCTACCATATTGACAGTGAGAAACTCATCCCCCAAAAATAGCCTGATGTGAGAAGGACAGATGGGAGGAGACGAAAAAAGAAAGTAAAGAGGGGGAGAAGGAACGAGCGAGAGGAAAGGGAGAGGAAGATGCACGCGTCCTGCTTGCAAACACGTGTGAGAGGGGAGGGCTTGCTCGGCTGCGGGACGGAGCAGGGGTAACCCCCGAGAGAGGTCTCCAGCCCCCAGCACCCCTGTTCTGAAGGAAGCTCAGCAAGCTGGACTGGTGGGCACCTGGAAAAGCCACTGATGGCTCCAGGCACGCGCTGACAGCTGCCCGACGGCTGGAGAAGTGCCACACGACCAAACCCTCCCGCCACGGCAGCAGTGCAGGCAGCGAGAGCGCAGCTGCCTCCTCCCCGCGTGGCACCACTTCGAGGGACTCTTGTTTAATCGCGGAGGTAGCTTTTTCTTGGCGTTCCTCTGCAAAACCTACATCGCAATTAAATAGACGCAAAGTTTAGAAACAAACGAGGCGCGGTGCCAAAAGCGCGGCACTGCCCGCTGTGGCTGGACGAGCCGTTCCCAGCCCAGTGCCCGGCAGCTCCTGGCGCTGCCTGCAATTACCTTTCAGAAAGTCTTGGCTCTCCCAGAGGGGTGGGCGCTGCCAAGGCTGGGCACTGGGCTCTTGCCCGCTGGGCGAAAAGGCCCGAGGATGCTGAGGCAGCTCTAACGCACTCCTCCCTGCCTTTCCTAATGAGCCAAACGAGTCCCTGCGCTCCCGCCAAGATGCTGAGCCTCGTGGAAGAAGGACTGTGCGTGAGCTCGGAGGTGGGTGGCGAGACCCCGCTCTGCCACAGTCCTGCACGGCCCCGACAGCTGAGCTGGCAGCTTGTGCCCACCCAGAGGGATGGCCGCGGCTGGCAGCCTGCTCTCACCGAGGCAGGGAAGCCTCTGCCAGAGGAGGAGGAGGAGGAGGAGGAGGAAGAGCAGGAGGA